GCTTTCCGTTCACCTTTGACCATATCATGTTATTTTCCCCCCACATTTCTTCTTTCCTTTTTTCTTCCCTCCTTCCCTCTTTCATCCCCCTTTCCCTTCCTTCCTCTCACCCTCTCTCCCTCTACTTCTCTCTCCCTTTATCTTTCCCTTCCCTTGACAGGGTATCACTATATAGCCCAGGCTGGCTTCTAACTCTCACTCTTCCTGACTCAGCCTCCCATGTGCTGAGAGGGTTGGTGCATGCAATTGTGCCTGGCTGCATCTGTGCATTTAATAGCCACCTAACTTCCAATCTCTACGCCGCTCCCTGACGTCTCTCTCAGTCACCGTGCTCACTCTCTTGCCAGGGTTTACTTTGGTTAGTAATTAGACACTGATGTGTCTGACAGCTGCTTGCCTCCCTGGAGACAGCGGGACCCTGGAGGGCGAGTACCCTGTCTATCTTACCCATCTTTGTCTCAGGGTCTGAGCTCAAGAGCTGGTATGTAGCAGCGTCTCAGTAAGCACCGACAACTCACATGTGGCTGTATTTGAGGTCCTATTTGTGCCACCCTGTGACTTTCAGTGTGGTCAGTCACCCACCATGGCTGGCGAAGCTGCCCCAGCGGTAGTTGGCTCAGGGGCTGGAGATGAGCACCAGTGTGTATGAGGCTATGGCCGCAGTAAATGTCATTTGAATGGTGGGGACCTGCATCTCCAGGAAGCCACTGGCTCTCTGGATGCTGCCAATAAAATTCTAGAGAGTCAGAGGTGGGAGGTTAGAAGAGGTCCCTAGAGAGGAAAAGATCCAGAGGGGCCAGAGGATAGGTATCTACACCTACGCCATCTTTGGGCTGCACAAATTGATCCTTTATCCAGAGCAGTCAGAATGAAGGTTGTAAGGGACATGTCTGCTTCTGAGCCCTGGTATGCATCCTGTGTGTGGGGATTCACACACACGATCCCTGGAGCGTTTCCAAAACACTTACCTCGGTGCTCTCAGGCACCCAGATGTGGCGGGATGATATAGCTGGAGGCAAAATGGTGAGAGGGGAAGGGAAGGAGGGAGAGAAGGAGGGGAGCTGCTCAGGGTGGGCCTGGGTGGGGTCTGTCATTCCAAGTCAAGTGCTAATGGCTGGCTGTGTGTGCAGCTCATGGTGAGCATTTGCCTAGTGTCTTAGGTTTTTTTCTATTGCTGTGAAGAGACACCATAACCACAGCAACTCTTTTTTTTTCTTTTTTCTTTTTTTGAGCTGAGGATCGAACCCAGGGCCTTGTGCTTGCTAGGCAAGTGCTCTACCACCGAGCTAAATCCCCAACCCATTTTTTTTTTTTTTGAGACAGGGTTTCTCTGTGAAACAGTCCTGGCTGTCCTGGGACTCACTCTGTAGACCAGGCTGGCCTCGCACAGCAACTCTTATAAAGGAAAACATTTCACTGGATGCCTTACAGTTCAGAGGTTCAGTCCATTATCATGGTGGGACATGGTGCTATGCAGTGAGGCATGGTACTGGAGAAGGAGCTGAGGGTTCTTACATCTTGATCCTGCAGGCAACAAGAGTGATCTGAGACACTGGGCGTGACTTGAGCATATATGAGACCTCAAAGCCCACCTCCACAGTGAAACACTTCCTCCAACAAGGTCACACCTACTCCAGCAAAGCCACACCTAATAGTGCTACTCTCTTTGGGGTCCATTTTCTTTCAAACCACCACATTCCGTTCCCTGACCCCCAAAGGCTTGTAGCCATACCATAATGCAAAAATGCATTCAGTCCAGCTTCGAAAGTCTTCACAGTCTATAACAGTCTCAACAACATTTAAAAGTCTGAACTTCAAAGTCCCTTCTGAGTTTCATGCACTCTCTTAACTATAATCCCTTATAAAATCAAAATAAAAAAAAAAAACAGGTCACATACTTACAACATCTAATGAAACAGGATATAAATTACCCTTCCAAAAGGTAGGGACGGGAGCATAGTGAGGAAATACTGGACCAAAGCAAGACCAAAAACCAGCTGGGCAAACTCCAAACTCTGCATCTCCATGTCTGATGTCAAAATGCTCTTCAGCTCTCCAACTCCTTTCAGTTTTGTTGACTGCAACACACTTCTTTCTCGGGCTGATTCCACTTCCTGTTAGCAGCTCTGCTTGGCAGGAATCCCACAGCTCTAGTATCTCCAACATCTTGGGTTCTCCAAGGCATTCCAGGTTTCAACTTCACAGCTTCATGCAATGGTCTCTCTAGGTCTCCATCAGGGTCAGTCCTGACACATACCCAGCTTCAGCGGCTTTCCTTAGACACAGACAAATTCCACAACCCGTTTCTTCTATCCTTAAAGTCAGAACCACGTGCCAAAGCTGCAAGGTTCTGCTGCTTGATGGGACTGGAACATGGCCCCCTTGTTCTTTTACATCTTCACCAGCTTTCTGTTTTCCATGATTTCCTTCACTGCCTAAGCTTGGCTGTCCTGAAACAGTGGAGACAGGTGTGATATGTCTGTCCTTACCACATGCTTCCCTTGGTGAAATGGTAGCCTCCATTTTTGCTGGTGGGTCAGCATCTGGGCATGGCCTGGAGGAAGAGGGAAGGGGTGGTCCTTGCAGAGCAGTTGGTATGTGGGGAGACCAGGAAGCCAGCCTCTGTTATCAAGGAGAATCTGGAGCATGAGGACTGGGTGTAGGTGTGACTTTGGTCCACACCATGCTTAATTTGTAAATTTGATTTATTTATGTATTTGCTTATGTGAGTGTGGGGTGGCAAATCATGTCACATTGAACATGCAGGAGTCAGAGGATACTTTCAGGTTTTCATCTTCTACCAGGTGGGTCCTGGGGCTAGAACTCGGGTCATCAGGCTTGGTGACAAGTGCTTTTACCCACGGAGCCATCTTGCCATCATGACACAGTTAGGTGGACACCTGGAGAAGGAGATGCATCCAGGCACGTGAAGGAGGGGGCTGTAGAGCTGAGGGGCTGGCTAAGGACCGAGGGCCCAGTTGCAATTGTCTGGGAGTCCCCTTGGGGATGCTGGAGAGAGGTGTGCCTCAGGGTGCTGCTCAGACAGACTGCAGGTCTGCTCAGGTGCAGCTGTGGTGGGGGTGACATGGAGCCTGTGAGTGTCCTTGAGCTGTCCTTGAATGCAAACTCAGGCTGTCACTGTGTCTCTGCCAACAGAAAGGTAATCTCAGGATGCAGCAGGATCTGCCTCTTAGGTAGATTCTGATGTTTTCAAGACTGCTAATTTTTTCTTCAGCACTGGGAATCAAATTCAGAGCCTTGTGAATGCTGTGTAAGAACCTCACAGCTGAGCCCCGCCCCAGCCCCTCACTGGGGGATTCTAGGCAGGGGCTCTACCACTGAGCCATATTTCCAGCTTTCCTCCTCCCTCTCTGCCTGTTTTCCCATGTGTGTGAGAGTATGTGTGTGTGTATGCTGTATGTATGTTCACCTGTGTGTGTGTGTGTGTGTGTGTGTTTGAAGGACAGAAAGATCGACTGAAGAGAATGTTCTGTACTTCTCTTCCCCTAATTTTTTGATTGTTTGAGACAAGGTTTCTCTGGAATCTGCCTATTCTGCTCAGTTCCTGAGTCAGATGCTGAGGTTTTTGGGATGGACTGTAAGTGGCTTTTTAATGTGGGTACTGGGAATTTGAACTCAGATCCTCATGCTCTTGGGTCAACACTTGACCCACTAATTTATGTCCCCTGTCCATTTCCCTTTTATTTTGAGAAAGGATCTTGCTGTGTAGCCTAGGCTGGTCTTTTGGTTCTCTGCCTCTCTAGTATCCAGCAGGTGTGGGCCATCACACCCAACTGTGACTATTGCTGTTTGGGTATTATTAAAGCTATCTGCAGATTTGGTATTTAGGTGATACTGGAGTGACAATATCTGAAGATGACCTGGATGGCTGGTGACTGGGTGTGACTCTGCTGTCCATCTCTGGTTGGCAGCTGGAGGAGGTTTCAACGTGCAGGTGTTCTGTGATGCCTTTCCCGATGTTACTCTGTGTTTGTAGTTTTGCCTTGTCTTGGCCCCAAGGTGGACAATGTCTGGTTGCATCTTCACCTGCAGAGTCATTGCTTGGGGGAAATCAGAGGATCTCCTGTCAGATTGTAAGGGGTACAGACTGAGAGTATTTTGGGATGACTGCTGGGGAACTGGGGTCACCTGGGGAACTGGGGTACCATAGCTGCCTTCTGGAGAGTCTCATTTTCCTTGTTAATGTTCCTCAGGGGCTGGACTTACAACTTACCACTGACAATGGTCCTCCCCAGCCTTTAATCACAGCACTTGGTAGGCAGAGGCAGACAGATCTCTGTGAGTTCGAGGCCAGTCTGGTCTACAGAGTGAGTTCCAGGGCAGCCAGGGCTACACAGAGAAACCCTGTCTTGAAACCTGCCCTTCCCCCAAAAATAAGAAGGAAGGAAAGCAAAGGAAAGAAAGCCGCAGGTGTTGGCTTGCTGTCTGGGCAGCCACAGGGACCTGTAGCATGTCCCGTACTTCACTGAATGTCAGGCTGCCCATGGCTGCCTCTCCAAGGATGTCACCTGTCAGGTGGATAACATCCTCTTACCTGCTTGCCACAGATGGCCACCCTGAGCCTGGCAGTCTCAGAGAAGGCGGCCCCACCCTCCTGACCGTGTCCCTGCTGCACACCTTGAATGCTGACGAACACTTCTGTCCTGTTACCTTGCTCAGAGACTTCCCTCCCACCCCGCCTCAGTTTGACCTGAACAGGCACAAGTGTTTATGAGATCAGGGATATCAGGACATGTAGGGTATGGGGAGGGCTGGACACCCTCACTTCAGCCCCCTACCCTGCTAGTTTAGTCCTAGGACTCCACGTGGCCCCTGCCAACCCAGCAAACCCTGAAGGTTCAGAAGATGCTGTTGAAGATTCTGTTCTGGTGGAAGCTCCACCTTGGCCCCTGGCACCCTGGCAGCCCTATACCCAAAGAGTCTGGAATGCTCTGGGGGAAGATCCACCTCAACTCCCCTCCCCCATCTCTTTCCCCAAACCTGCTCCTTCAAAGCCTGCCAAACACGGCTCCTCCCCCAGAGATGCTCAAGACCACTCCCACAGGGTATTTAAGCTGCAGCCCAGAAAACAGACATGTGGTTTTCCGGTCTCTTGTCCCGTTTCCAGGGGGCTGGCAATCACCCGGGCATGCTTTACCTATTAAACCGGGGCTTTTTCTAATTCGGTCTGATTTGGTTTGATTTGGATTGCTGCGTCTGCAGAGAGGCTATTGGGGTACAAAAACCTTTCATCTGGAGGTCCCACCAATGGGGGTTGATTTTCCCCCACCAGCCCGGGCCACGTGATGGGAAAACAACCCTATCCCCAACATCTGCTCTCTACCAGACTTAAGATTGGCTTTCAGCTCGGTAAGTTGTCCTTTCTAAGTCATTGCCTAAGAAGCCCAGGGCCTCTTGATTTGGGGGGTGTCCTGCCAAAGATGTGGCTGTGCCAGGCCCCTGACCCATTCTAGAGCAAAGGGCTGCCTTTGTTCCATGGGACCCCTTCTGCAGAAGACGTTCTGTTGAAGGGAATTTCCCACACACCCCTGCTTTTGACCCAAGGCCTACCACGGTGGATGCATTCATTGCACTAGGCTTCGGGTCCTGGCATAGACTTGTGAAATGGGCACTTCCTATTCAAAGCCTGATCCCCAAATGCACCTGCGGTGTCTTTTACAAAATCTATCCAAATTGGGCTATCTGATACCATCTCTCCTAATACCTTGGTTTCTCTGAGCACTAAGGCCTGGCTGCAACACCTTGATAAGCAGTCAAGGTGGCCTCCAGAGAAAACCTTAGAATTTTCCATCCTCCATGATCTTGAAAATTTTTGTCTGCATGGAGATAAATGGCAGAACTGTCCATGTCCACATTCTTTGGGTTCTGCATTCCCACCCTCCCTACAGCAGCCAATGTCTCCCATGGCTAGGGCCATGCCATCTCCAGATTCCCATCTGTCTGGAAACTGGGACCCTGAAAATTCCACTCTGACCATGCTACCGGGACACTGGCCCCGCCCCCACCCCTCTTTATCCACCCCCCTCCTATGGGGCCACATGTTCCATTCAGTGGCAAACTGCTCACATTTCTGCCTCTATCCACCCCTGCCCCCTTCTTTCCCCTCCAGGACAAAGGCCGAGGACCAAATTCCTCCTCATCCGCCTTCCTGTCCTCCCCTTCCCGAAGCTGCTCCTCCCTACCCCCCAATGCCCCAACCTACATCCTGGTCCCCTTCTACACACTGGCCTAACTCCTCTGAATTTTCCCCGATTTCTTCTCATACTTGGTCTTGCCTGACTCCTGCCCTCTTCGGCCCTCTCCGAGAAGTAGCTGGAGCTGATGGAGTTGTTCAAGTCTCCAGAGAAGAGACCTCATGGTTCGTTGCCTCCTCCAAGGTATGGAAATGGTCTCGGACAAAGTTGTTAATTTTGATAAACTCAGAGATCACACAGCTAGCTGACAAAAACCTGGCCATTTCTCTAAACTGGTTATAAGAGACCAGGGTTCAATATACTCACTTTGACTCAGCCTCCACAGCAGGAGCCACGGTCCTGGCCACCCATTTCATTTCTCAGTCAGCACTAGATATTAGAAAGAAATTAAAAAAGGCTGAGGGGGCCCCCAAACTCCCCCACAGGAATTGATGAAAACGGCTTCCTTCCCCTCAAGACCCCGACTCTTCCCTGCATTCTTGCAGGGCGATTCTTCTCACACTCTTTTCTGGTCATACCTCCTTGCTTTGCAACTCTCCTACAGGCCTGAGCCTTTTACGGAAGGCCCTTCCTCCTCAGTCACCACCTCCCAGGCCACACTCCCCCACTGGCCATGTATCTCCCCTACCTCTCCCTTCTGAGGTCCCTTCGCCATTCACATGCGGACAGCTGTCTCCCTGCTCCAGCCTGCCCCACTCTCCCCAGGGGACAGAGGACTCCTCAGACAGCTAGCTCCTAAGTCTCTTGAGCCCCAGTGGACAAGACCTTATACTGTGATCCTCACCATCTTCTCGGCTACCAAGTTCCTGGGACATCCATGCTGGTACCATCTCTCCAGGCTCAAACAGGCATCTATTGAGGATACATGGTCTGTCCAGCAGCTGGGACCCTCCACCCTCCGGTTTTCCAGGTTGTCTCAATGCAGGGCCTACCTGCTCTTCCGCCCTGTGCGTTCATCTCTGCAGCACAGCTAGGGCAGATGTTAATAATCTATTTCTTTCCTAGAAACTTGCCTTCTTTTCTTCCTCAAGAAACAGATGCCTGAGGCCTGTAGGGTGATGATTAACCAGATGCTCCTCCACTCACACCTCCTACTGAATGTAAGCCCACCAACTCCCAACTCCCCCCTTCCCCACATCGCCCCATACCCACAGGAAGTAGCCAGACTTGAACTGTCATCCCTACATCCAGAGTCTGGAATGTTCTGGTGGAAGATCCACCTCAACTCCCCTCCCCCATCTCTTTCCCCAAACCCATCCCTCCAAAGCCCCACAAACACGGCTCCTCCCCCAGAGAGGCTCAAGACCACTCCCATAAGGTATCCCAGAAAACAGACTCGTGGTTTTCTGGTCTCTCTTCCCTATCTCCTCTTTAGAGGGCTGGAGAATCACCCGGGAATGCTTTACCCGTTAAACTGGGGCTTTTTCTAATTTGGTCTGATTTGGAGCAGAGAGGCTTATTGAGGTGCAAAAACCTTTCAGATTCTTTTTCCCAGCCCCCATGACTCTGGGAGGAGGATGCAAAGTTAAAACAGCCACTATAGCAGCAGTAACTACAATCCCAGTGAGAGCAAAAGCAAATGCAGCCAAGCCATGAGAGCAGAGGTTTGGGGTTCAAATCTCAGCTCTTCTGCTTAGAGCTATGTGGCTTTAGGCAGATTAACCGACCTCTCTGTTCCTCATTTTTCTTTTCTTTCTTTTTGTTTTTTCGAGACAGGGTTTCTCTGTGTAGTTTTGGTGTCTGTCCTGGATCTCACTCTGTAGCCCAGGCTGGCCTCGAACTCACACAGATCCGCCTGCCTCTGCCTCCCGAGTGCTGGGATTAAAGGCGTGCGCCGACACCACCCCGCTCATTTTTCTTTTCTATAAAAGGAGGATAAACAGCTGGGTGGTGGTGGTGCCAGCCTGTTCCACAGAGCTAACTACCACAGCCAAGGTTACACAAAGAAACCTATCAGTATTCTGACCCACTCCTTGGGGATCCGCCCAGCATCCTGACGTCATCTTATGTGAAGTCTCCTTTCAGAAAAAACTCCTCCCCTTTCATTCTCTCTCACACCTCTTTCTCTCTCTTTCTCCCCTTCTCTTTTCTTTCTCTCCCTCTCTCTCTTTCCCTTTATTAATAAAAACTTCCCACGTGGATGTCACACCTGCCTTGTGAGTAGCTTCCCACGGCGCCACACTGCCCGTCCGTGTGTCTGCGTGGCGTGCCTCACCCGCCGTGGGGCACTTTGGTCCAAACCCACCAAGGCCTTTAGCACCATTTCACAACCTTAAAACTGGTGCTTATGACTCAGGCCCTCCTGGCAGCCGCTCGCATGCCAGGATCCCGGACGCAGTCTGCCCACCACAGGATCCAGCTCACCCGATCACTCACCACCTCGTCCACCAGCGGCAATCACATAAGTTTCAATTGAGTTGTTACACCCCCTCAGGATCTGCCCACAGCTCCTTTAGGCCCTTCTGGCTTTTGCAACACGATCCTTGACCTTTTCCCATGGATGAGACCCCTCTCAGAGCTCGGTTTTCCTTCTCACCTCCTCAAAAATCCTAGTACTAGGTGCTGAGACTTCCCCAGCTTAATCAGGCTCAGCCGACCCCCATTGAGTGTGGCGAAGGCCGTCTTTGATGGCTTGGTCCTCATTCTGTCCTCCCTCTAGTCCTGGTGACACCCACGGCTACAGGCTGTAGGGACTCCTTGTCCTCCTCTCATCCGTGGGAACTGTGACTTTTTGGGACATGTATGACTTCTGTGAGCAATCAGGGCCTGCCCCCACTCTCGGGGTCCTTCACTCTCGTCCTTTGCTTCTCCCTCTTCCACTAACTGCTGCCTGCGGCCTGTCTGCTTGGCGGCATGCCTTGGCAGGACCCGCCAGAGGTACCCACTAACTCTGCTGCGTGTGGCCTGTCTGCTTGGCGGCATGCCTTGGCAGGGCCCGCCAGAGGTACCCACTAACTTACCTCCACCACCGGCACGTCTGCTCCCTCCCGCCTGTAACAAGTCTGCCTTCTCCTTGCCTTCCATCAACACCTCCACTCGGGTCTCTGGTGGAGCTACCTGCCTCCGACCATCCCCCTGGATGTGAGACTGGCCTCAGGATTTCTTGGGCCAGACGGTTGGGGAACAGAGAAAAAATTCCCCACTTTCTTCCTTCTCCCTTCCTTATGACTTAGATAAACATGCTTTGAGCAGCAACCATCTTGGCTGGTGACCTCATCGTGATGCAGATGGCCATGTGGCTGGCAGCCATTATTTACTAAGGCTTACTAAGATTAAAAATAGATTTAGTTTTGATGACCTCTTTGTTCATTTTATCTCCTTCTAGAGTAAGGAAGCAATAAGTCTCAAATATTTGGGATTGGTATGGACTTTTTGTATGATAATAGAGATGTAAAGCTATATTTGATTCAACACTGGTTTATAGTACACTCTATATGATAATAGAAATTTAAATTTATAAAGATCTGCTCAGATTAATAAGAGTTAACTTAGTGATTTACACCCATTTCTTCTAGAAAATTTAAATAAATGATGTCATACATTCGATAAATGGGGTACCTAATAAACAAGATATATATTCTATGACGGAATTTCCGGTCCCCTGAGAGGGTCCTCTTCTCAGAGTTGGGCCACACCCTGACTCACAAGCCCCTTTCCCCTGTTCCTGTTTGGCCTGGGATCTTTCCCTGTCACTCTTCTTTGCCTTCTCAGGCGTGAGCAAGTCCTAGCCTTACGGAAGCTGCTAACACATTGACTGTTAGGGAGCATAAGCTGAGGTCAGCCATTCCTACCTAACGGACAAGCAGTGCTCAAATGCTCGAGATCTGCAGACTCTGGCTCTTAAAATGTTGATCAAAAAGCTTATTATATCAGAGACTCCCAGATCCTAGCAGTGGCCCAAGGTCTCTGAAGAAGATTATGAGGCACCATGACATCTCCACCTGGATTATGGCAGGCAACGTTGACCTCTGGGCAAAATGCCCCAATGCAACACCTGCTACCAGGACCGGGCCCCAACTGTGGACAAACATTAGGACGTCAGAGTATCAATTGCACCTCTTTTGCCTAGACAAAGTAAGATCAGTCTTCTCCATGTCCCTCTTCCACAGGAAAAACTCCCACTTTATGGGCCTGGTGGCCAAAGACTGATGCTGTTCTGATACTTCTGCCTCCAACGATGGGAGACCCGGGCATGGCTGACTGGGTATGCACTGGTCCCTGTTATCTTTAATAGATTTGAAAGCTGCTTGGCCTGCACTCAGATATAATTTATCCTTCTCAGATCTCTGATTCAATTTGAGAACCAGGCTTTGCTTCAGCTGCCTTCTCAGTTCTCTATATAAAATTCACAGATCTCCCTCTCCTAGGGCTACTACTAGGTCTAGACACAACTTACCTTGTTACCGGATCAGATAAACTCACAGAACAGATTTCAATGTAACTTTTTACTGTTGACTGTTCTCAGTATCCCCTGATAAATTAGATAAAAAGAAATAGCTTTAAGGTTTGTTTATATGAAGATATAAACTTCTTCTTACTTCTGTTCACTTACATATCCTTCTCAGATCTGATGATGTTTAGGGAAGGCTCCCTCCTCCTTCACTCACTCAACCACTTCCATTCAGTAAATTTCCTCTGGTTGTAGATTTAAAGATATGTTTCATTAGGCTGAAACCAGGAAATGCTCATACCTTTTAACCCAAAGCCATAGCTTTTGCTATGACACCAAGATGTAAATCTGTTCCAGTTGCTTTACAGACACTTGGAGGTCCCTGCACAGATCCACCCCTCCTGCCAGGCTTGTGCCAGGGCCAATCCACAGGGGTCCTCCAGATATGCCAGCCCCTGAACCAGCTCCAAGGATGCCAACCACCAAGTAAGGATACCAACTGGGTGAATACTGACAGGTTAACTTCATCTACATGCCCACTCATAAAAACTCTGTTATCTCCTAATCCGTTGACACTTTTTACAGGATGAAAGAGATATTTCCACCACACAGCAGATGCAATGGCTCCTGTACTCCTGATTTGGTGTGCCGTTCCCCAACCTCCTGGAACATCACTGCTGCAACCTGCCTTCTCAGCCCCCTCCAGGAACACCTGAGATCTCCACGATGACAGCTAACTGAATGCTTCTTCACTCATACCCCTCACCATGCGTGACTCCCAGCTTCCCCCTCCCCACTTCGCCCCTTGTCAGCAGGAAGCATTCTCGAGAATTTGGCACCCTCATTCCCCCCACTTGCTATCCACAACTCACCTTTTTATAATACTCAAAATGGAGGAACGCTAGTATTCTGACCTGCACCTTGGGGACCCACCCAGCATCCTGACATCATCTTAAGTAAGGTCCCCTTTAAGAAAAAACTCCTCTGCCTTCACTCCCCCCCACCAGAGGTACCAAACACCCCTCTCTCTCTTTCTCTTTCTCTTTCCCTCTCTCTCTCTCTCTCTCTCTCTCTCTCTCTCTCTCTCTCTCTCTCTCTCTTCCTTTAATCATAAAAACTTTCCATATGGAAGTCATATCTACCGTGTGAGTAACTTTCCAGCAGATGGCGCCATGCGGTAATCTGCTGCGTCTGCATGGTGTGTCTCACCTGTGGGGCACCTTGGTCCAAACCATTTCACAACATTAACAAAATCCTGTCTTGAAAAAACCAAAACCAAAACCAAAAAGAAAAAAGAAAAAGAAAAGAAAGAAAAAGAGCATAATCAGAATTCCTACCTCAGATGTTTGCTCTTTACCTCAATGAGTTGATATTCTTTTTTTAAAAAGATTGTTTATGTGAGTACTGTATCTGCATATTATGCCTCCACACCAGAAGAGGGTATCAGATCCCATTATAGATGGTTTTGCACCACCATGTGGTTGTTGGGAATTGAACTCAGGCCTCTGGAAGAGCAGCCAGTGCTCTTAATTGCTGAACCATCTCTCCAGGCATGAGTTGATATATATATATATATATGTTTTTCAAGGCAGGGTTTTTCTGTGTAGTTTTGGTGCCTGTCCTGGATCTCACTCTGTAGACAAGGCTGGCCTCGAACTCACAGAGATCTGCCTGCCTCTGCCTCCCGAGTGCTGGGATCAAAGGCGTGCGCCACCACCGCCTGATTAATTGCTGGAATTACCCACATGAGCTTAATTTCCACAGCTCTCTATTTTATGGGTGACATGATTGGCCTGTGTTGGGTCCTGAGGATGTGAGAATAATGGGGACCAGACACCAAAGTCTATTAACCAGAAGCAAACTTTATTCCAAACACCACAGGGCACAGAAAACTTGTAGCTAGCTAGGGCCACAGACAGAGTTGGGCTTCTGACATGGTGACCCTGAGAGGAACTTCCAAGCCTCTTCTTACAGTAAAATCCAAGCACCAGGTGGTGGGTCACAGGGTTTTACAGTCTTGAGCTTGGGCCTTGAGTCACATGACATTCTGAGAGTCTCCAGTTTCGATTGCAGGGTGTTAGTTCAGGTATTTGTGAAAGCCTGTGGCTGTCTTGACACAGCTGTCTTCCCTGTAGCTGAAAGGAATGTAGGGCAGAGGGTCACACAGAGGCAAGTGTTAAAGTGTAACCTTTGTCCACAGCAGCTGTCAGCTCCAATTTTCCTAGGATGTGTACAGGCTGTGTACAGTTTTCATACTCCTGGGCTTTTCATTCCCCCATGAGTTTATATCAGAATCTAACACTTGATTCTTCTGAATCTGTATGTGAACCTGAGTCTGAGTTTTCAATAATTGTATATTATGAGCACAGAATCAAGAGTTTCACTGAAGAAATGCATTTTTTTTACAAACCTAATCAGTGTATTAATTACACATGGACCAATTATTAAGAGTATCAAAAGAATAAGCAATGGTCCAGTAATGGAGGGCAATAGAGTCGTTAGCCAAGGGAACCAATTAAAGAGCTTATGGAACCAGGAAAATGATCGTTTTCTCTCTCTCTCTGTCTTTCGAGGAGAATCACTTTGAAGAACGTTTCTAACAACGCCTGAGGGGTTAGCACAGGAACAGCAGGATTCACCCACGGTGGCACATAGCCCTCCTTGTGTCGGGAGTGGTAAGTCTAGGCCCTTCTGTTTTGTAAGACCGTTTCTGCTGAAGAGTCTACCTGTTGTTCAAGGTATGAGGTTCTGCCTGGAGGTGGAATAGGCCTTTTCCACAGCCTCAGAGAGACTGGTTAACTGGCTTGACTAGTAATCAGCGCTGCTGCCCCCAGGACAGCGGAACTTGCAATACCTATTCCCAACATTATGGGGACAAGGATTGGGGCTCCTCTCTTATGTTGTACCCCTAGGGAGGACCCCCTGTTGGCTGGACCATCATAATAATATATTTGAGGGGCAATTTGTACCAAGATACAGAATTCAGGTTGCTTTCCCATGTGAAAAGGCTAGTTGATGTACAGGAGTATAAACCCATGGTACAGACATACCAAGACCCTTGGGGAGCAATCAGCTGATGGGAGTTGTTGAAGTTAAGAGAATTGGAAGACCCTGAGAAAAAATATATACTTTTATATATTGACGAATATATATATTCGTTTTGTCTAAGGGATAGTTGTATGAGCAGAAGCAAGTTGTATCTCCTTGAATGTTTCCTAGGGTAAGAGGGGCCTCCCAGGGACAAGCTGTTTTGTTGGTTAGGGACACAGTTCTGAATGTTATGGATGGCTGTGTAACCAGAAGACCTAATCCTATGTCAAAAGGCATCCAGGGTCTAGACATAACCAGAAGTCATCAGTGAAATTCATAAGGGTCGAGTTAAGGAGGGAGTTAGTGGCCAGGACTATTTCAAAGAGGGGGTCCATAGGTGCTGGTGGTGGTGTAGCACAAAACCTAATTTGTCTTAATAAAAACTCAGAGCCAGATGTCAGGGTAAATGCCGAAAAATCAGAGAATCAGAGCAGCCACCCACTAGTTCTTACCTCTACAAAATCCTCAGCGAAAGCACTGAGCTCCTTTCTCCTCCTGCCTTATATTTAAATATTTAAAATTTGTAAAGAAAAATTTTATTAATTTATTTATTAATCAGTTTTAAGGTGTAAAATTAATGAGTAATTTTACCTTAGATGAAAGAAATACTTCAGAGCTGGTGTCCCAGTTCTTGCAATGGATTTTTGGGTGTAGTAGCGCTGTTCAGCCAGCAGGTGTCGCAGGTGTAGTGCTAAAGCAAGTCCTGAAGCGTTCCGAAGACCTTGACCTGTATTGAGCTTAAACAGCTAACGAACAAGTTTTAACCAAGAAGTAGCTGCCTGTTGGTGGTGTTGTTATGGGGCCAGCTGCTTGTGTATGGTGCACGTAAAATGGCTGGGGCGCATGGTGGTGGAGGCTGGTGGGTGGTGGCAGCCATGGGTGGGCGGGAACCTGTGGTGCAGTGGGTAAACAGAGGCCGGCAGGTGGGAGGCGCTCAGCCTCCTCCCATATTAGCATGCAGTAGGTGTACTCAGCAGCACGTATGGGACCAGGCCGGGGGCGGGGGCGGGGGCGGGGGCACGCGGTTTGTGAGCTGTGGCTAGTTCTAGTTTGAATGGGCCGTGGGGTCAGCAAGTAAGCACTGGGATCTGGGCAATGGCTCAAATTAGGGAGTGGATGCAAGTCTGCCACGGTGGGCAGGACACAGATGCGGCTACTTGGGAGGGAGGGAGCCATAGGTGCATAGTTAGCAAGCAGGGGTCTGAGCTTCCAGGTACGTGGCAGATCATTCAGGCTGCTCACCGAGTCTGTGGGCAGACATCCATTGAAGCTATCTGCACGGGTAAAAGGCTGTGGATGGCTTACCCATGCCCCACATTGGGTGCCAGATAATGGGAGAAATCCATGGAGTCTATTTAATGAACAAATAAATTTATTTGGGGGTTAACTCACTACCATGGGAGATTTATCCTAGGGTCTGGGAAAGCTGAGCTATGTCCCATGCTGATTCACCTGGTCCCAGCTCTCAGCATCTGATACCACAAGGAGGTGAAGAGAGGACCATGTATGTGCATCCCAGGCCTTAAGGGTCCCCAGCAACCCACTACATGCCTCTCTCTGCCCACCCACATCACTTCCTGTCTCAACCTCCCTAGGGCTGGGATTAAAGGTGTGTGTGCCTCCCAAGTACTGGGAACAAAGGCATAAGATCCCAAGTGCTGGGATTAAAGGTGTGTGCTACCACTGCCTGGCTTCTATGGCTAACTAGTGGCTGGCTTTGCCCTTTGATCCTCAGACAAGCTTTATTCGGATCATACACAAAATATCATCACATTTCCTCCTTTTGTCTAAAATTAAAAAAAAAGATTATAACTAATAAAAGAAAAACTATATACAATAAGTACAATAACTATATACAATGTATACAGGCAATAAATACATCAACAGTGTCTAGTCTGTTAACATTTGACAAATTCAAAGAAAATAATCCATTATTTATTCTATCTTGGTGAGTCCAAAAGCTTGTACCTAATTCACTTTCTATTCTAACTTATATTACTAGCTGAAAACTATCTTTTGATGTCTCTCAAACTTATACACTTTACACCTCTTTAGTGAGTTTCTTTTCTGAATTTGTTAACAACAACAACAACAACAAACCCTGTATCTATTTCATCTTCAACTTCAGAGACCTGAGAAGGAAATAATATTAACGGAGTAAGCAGGAAGTACAAGCAAGTGACTTCCAAAAATTGTAAGAAATGACAGAAACAGCTGGCTGCCTGGACAGTCACCCAAGGTTCCTCCACAGTGTTGGGGCATCCATCTTTGGCCTACAGGCCTAGCATATCTGACAGACTTATCTGTGAAGCAGGATTCTCTGAAGGGCTATCCTACCTTGTCTTGGCAAAGTTCAGCAGTCCTTTCTTTTGTGTCCTGCTTGTCCATTTGGACAGCATACTGTAGCAGTTGAGGCAAGGGCGTTTTCTTGCTCAGTGACTAACTTTTACCACAAAGGAAGTAAACTCCATATAGAGTTTTTTTGATGACCATCATCTTCTGTGAAGTATATTGGTACTGCTAGGAGCAGACATGTCTCATTGTCATTAAAAAAAAAAAAAGAACCTATGTTATTAAAACATCTTAAGTGCCATATTCTGTAGATCTCTGAAGTGTTTGAAGATGACCTGTCTATCTAAAATATACCTGTTTGACCTTGAAAACATACCTAATATGACTACAAGTTCAATTGTAATCGATGACTAATTACTAACCTGTATTTTCTTATTATCCTAATTAATTGGTAATAATAACTTTCAAAGACTACAAATTTGCATTACATTGTTAAATGAGATATATAGGTACAATACCTTGAACAAGATTAGAAATGTATGTACAGTATGTTCTAACAAAAATAACCTCAAATTTGTATCAATATACAAAATTTGTATACAATATACAAAAGTCCAATCCAATGTAAAATATTTAAAACTAGTAGTTGATTTTTAAAAGTAGAATCAATAATCTGGGCTTTTAACCTATCATATCTATATCCCCCTTTTTCTTTTCAGAGTAGATTCAATAATTTACCTTTTATCCTGTCATTTCTATATCCACCCCCTTTTTTCAAAACAAGAATCCTGAATCTAATCTTTTTTGTTCAGCTTTTTTCCTGATGATTACCAATAAATAACAACTTGTAACCAACCACCCTAAATGATGACAAATATTCATAAACAGTTTAAAGACCAAAAACCACCCACCCTACCTCTCCGTAATGTGGGTGTCATGCTCTTAAGTTTACTTCCTGCTGTCTGGAGGCGATGGCCTCTTTAGGGGATCCTGAAAAGAAAAATTTGGTTTAATTGTCAAGTCCTGGGAGAGGTAGCTGTGCCATTTATTGTCCAGTCTCTGAAATGGGAATGTGCAGTGCTGGTTTCCAGTAGTCTGTGAGGCTGGATCATCTCAGCCAGCCACCTCAAAACTGTGCTGAGCAGTTTGTAGTCCAAAGCTGATCTTTAGGTGGTGTTTGTCAGCTTAGTGGCGTTATCATAGTCTGTGTGGAATCATCATTGTGGGGCCTTGTCATCCTTTTGGAGACTTCAAAGGTCACTGTTAGGCATGGTCATGGTTCAATGCAGAAAACTTAATAAATGTCATATGCAGCAGATCTCAAAGAGGCTAAAGGATCAATATTTGTTATTTTATAGAAGTTTGCCAAAAGATTCACTTTATGGTTTCTCTTTAATTTTTTGTTGTTGTTCTCTCTTCTATAGCTGTTCTATCATCCAGAGCAGTATGGTTTCTTACAATAGGCATTAGGTTCATTAATTGCTCTGGGAAGGAGTTTCCTCCATGATGACAGGAAATGACTGAATTGAATTTGATGTGAGGCTCCTGTGAGAGGCCCCCCAAGGTATTTCCCGATGGCAAAGGATTACCTTGACTTTCCCTTGTTGATCTGCCGTTTGTAAATCTAATGGCTGCCTTTGCCACACCTTCTACATAATCCAGAAGGGAGGGGTGTTCTGTTGGGATTATTCTTAGAAGAACATTGTTTCTAGAAATGCCTTGTTTACAGTCCCTTTTTAGGTGACTTTGTTTACCACATTTGAAACACCTAACATTTCGATTTTTCTTCAAACCTCTGGAAATCACCTTTCCTATCCAAGCCTCATCATGGTTATGAGATTCAATATTGATTCTATCTTGGATCCATTCCTCCAAGGGTGTTGATTGCAGTGGGCTGCAAGAATATATTATAGAGATTCAGCTGTATATAATAAGCTATACCTTGATTGACCAAGGAGTCATTCAAGAGGAAGCCATTTATCAAGGAATATTTGGTGTTATTTAGCTTTTAATATATACCAGCTATCTTATGTTATGAAATTCTTGTGCACCCATATACTACTGGGCTTTATAGCAAACAGTTTAGCTGCTCAGACCTACTGCTGATCCACTAGGTAACACCCCTGCAGGGCCTAGGAGACAGGCTGGTTGTAGATGCATAGTTTTGTTTCTTGTGCAAATGAAGCTCAGACCGTCCCCTTCCTTCAGGCCTAGTGGTATTGCAGAGCAATTGACTCAGGACAATTGGGCTTTTTGCATAACCAGGTGTAGTAAAGACTGGAGCAGAACTCCT